GTATGACCTCTGACTCTCTGCTTAGGTTTTTTTTAACTCAAGTCTACAATATAGAAACAGCAATTTTGAAGTAAAAGCTAACTTTAGTTCTCATCCAACACAATCTGGTTTGTTATTTTTTGCCTCTCAGAAAATTACAGCAAGTAGGGCTCTTGCCTTGCATACTTCTGACCCAGTTTCATTTCCTAACATCCTTTATGGTCCCCCAAACCCACCAGCAGTGATTCCTGAGTGCAGAACCAGAAGCCCAAGCACAGCCCTGTCCGAAACTCAAAAAAAAAAAAAGGTAGAAAAAGTTTCAGGTATGCATAATTGCCTGATTTCCAGTGGTGTAATGTTCTGTAATCCTTGCCTATAATATTCAGTCTCACACGTATTTCACACTTTTCTGAATCGCTTACTAGTGTTCTCTCCTTTTAACAGGGAAATCTTTGGTTTGGTTGTTTCATTTAGTACTTTGATATACTCAGTGGTGGACCACTTGCCTAGCAGCTTTGCATGTGTGAGGTCCTGAGTTCAGTCTCTGGCATCTCTCTCTCACGCACACACACACACACACACACACATACACACACACACACACACACACACGCTATGAGATGGGTTATGTGCTCAATAAGGTGATGTGCAGAAGGCTGATATTTAGTCCCCAGTACCACGTGTCCCATCTGTCCATCCCCACCCACACCCTCCGTGGGAATAACTCCCCAGCACTGCAGTATGTGCTGCCCAAAAAACTCCAAATATTATTATGCCTTAGAAAACACTTAGAGGGGCTGGAGCAATAGCACAGCAAATAGGGCGTTTGCCTTGCACGCAGCTGACCCGGGTTCAATTTCCCAGCATCCCATATGGTCCCCCAAGTTGCCGCCAGGAGTAATTCCTGAGTGCAGAGCCAGGAGTAAACCCTGTAAATTGCCGGGTTATGACCCAAAAAGCAAAAAAAAAAAAAAGAAACACTTAGAAATGTCTTAGCTCAAAATTTTCAGTAATACCTTTTGTTGCCCATCAGTGATGGGGAGTGGGTGCCATAGCTAGATTCTGAGAATGGTCCTGTGGGATTTCCGATGCAATCCCTTTCCCTTGAGTGTGGAGCCTACAGTAGAATGTGGTGAGGTGATGAGATCCCTGATTGTTATGCCATACATGACTCCATCTTGCTTTCACACGCACAAGAATCCTTCTCTCCTGGATGAAATAAGCGGTAGACTGGGAAAACAACATGGTTAGAGCTGCCTTTATATGCTCAGGGGATCTATGTACTACCATAGAGATATCAAGTTCCCAAATAATGCACTGGATAAAGGAAGTTACAGAGGTCGATATCACCAATGACGACATGTAAAACAAGGAGAACTAAATTAGAATAACTGTATATGAGATAAATAATCAAGAAAAGCAGGGGAATGAACAACAAAAAAATCAGGACAGAGACTATACCTGCTAAGAAAAAAGAGAACAGTAGCTAGGAATAAACACATTAATAATGACTAACATGAGGATTCTAAAACCTTAGGGAACCTTTTAGTAACCTATAGGGTTTACGAAAAGAGAACAAACGCTGAACCCATCTCCAGCTGCTAATCTGTAGGTCAGGCGGAACCTGAGTATTTGCAGTCACACAAGTTCCGGTGGTGATGCTGTCAGACTTAGGCCACTCTTGAATTTCTAGTGTTGTAAGATTGATTTTAGATTCGTGATTTATCTGAATAGTGGAAAAATGAGTTTCTGTTTTACCTTTTGTGCATCTTGCAAATCATTTCCTTCCTCAGTATGGAAACCTACAAACAAAAAAGAATTTTTACTTGTAACATGCCTAATACAGCTTTCACAATTCCTGTATAGTCTCTTCTGCAAATATCTAGCCATTTGGTCTTATGAATGTGTATCCAAAAAAATAAAAAACCACTGGGTATTTAAAGCAATTCGTCTGCCGTTAGAAAATATTTAGCAAAAGTTGTCGAACTTAAGTTCAATAGACTAAGAGTGTTATTGGAAAGAAATCTCAAGCATGTTCTTCTTTGACGTAAATAGGGATTTTCAGGGCTGGAGCGATGATAACACAGCGGGTAGGGCATTTGCCTTGCACACAGCCAACATAGCTGACCTGAGTTTGATTCCTCTGCCCCTCTCGGAGAGCCTGGCAAGCTCCCCATGACTTATTCGATATGCCGAATACAGTAACATGTTTCACAATGTTACTGGGCCCGCTTGAGCAAATCGATGAACAATGGGAGGACAGTGACAATAACAGAGACTTTTAGACAGTATTATAAGTCCAGAGAACGATACTATTTATACTAAGTGTTGAGCTGGTTTGCCTGCGTTTATGAAATCACATGCTGAAATCGGAAGGGTCTTGCTCCCTGGCCTATGTCCTACTGCCCCTTTTATAGGCTACTTTTTTGGTGAAATAAATATTTTACTCTAGGAAAATAATCACTTTCTGTTTGGAGAGCTTGTGTGCATTCCACAAAATAGTATATCAATGATAAATTGATAAAGTGAAAAAAATTTTTGACTATCTTACTTTATAGGTATATAAATTTTTTGATTAATATGAGCAATTTTGTGCTAATACATTTTAAGATTTACATAAATTATTAGTAAGAGTGAAGAGAGGAAAATTTAAGGGGAGAATCTGAAGAGACCTGTCAAATTATATATTACTTAAATTTCTGCATTTAAAAGGATTCTTTTAAAAATCTATGGATAAAAAATAAAAACACTTGATTTTATATATATATATGTATTTAAAGAAACATTTGCTGTTAATGCAGTATAAATTTATTATCCAAACATAGAAAATTTCTTAGCAGGATAGGAGTAAACAGACCTTTTTTTTTTTTTTTCTTTTTGGGTCACACCCGGCAATGCACAGGGCTTACTCCTGGCTCTGCGCTCAGGAATTACCCCCTGGCGGTGCTCAGGGGACCATATGGGATGCTGGGAATCGAACCCGGGTCGGCCGCATGCAAGGCAAATGCCCTACCCGCTGTGCTATTGCTCCAGCCCCAACAGACCTTTTTTAGAGAGCAACCATAAGCACCATGAGTGAATGAATGCCATATTCATTGCCAAATGCTAAGAGTTTGTCTTGTCTTTTTTTTTAAGAATTTTTTACTTTAAGAACTGTGATTTACAGGGTTAATGATGTTGAGTTTTAGGCATATAATATTTCAACACCAACCCCTCCACCGGTGTTCCCACGTTCTCTCTCACCCAGCATATTTCTCCTACTCCCACCTGCCACCTTGACAGACACATTACAAATTTTGGTGGTTGCAGCTTAGATCTCATGTTTTCAGTGTGCTTCAGATATGTAGTTATACCACTCTCCCACAGCCCAGTGTAACCTAAGCGCTGACCCCTGTTCCCCGTTACTTCCCTTTCTCATCTACTTCCTCCCCCAACTTGATTTCTTTCCTTCTCTGTCCTTCCCCCTAAGGTCTGGAATCACGTGATCAAGGCATGCCCCCTTTACCATATTGCATTTCTTCATTCAGTTATTCTATATATCACAGATAAGTGAGATCATCCTGTGTGTGCTTTTCTTCTTCTGGCTTACTTCACTCAACATGATATCTTCCAATTCCAATCAGTAAATTGAATGATTCCATTGTTCCTTGCAGCTGCATCTTATTCCATTGTGTATATGTATCACATCTTTATAATTAATTCGTCATTGGACACCTAAGTTGATTCCATATCTTAGCTATTGTTGTATCACTGTATCACTGTCATCCCATTGTTCATCGATTTACTCGAGCTGGCGCCAGTAACGTCTCTATTTGTCCCATCCCTGAGTTTTTGGCAGCCTCTTCTTACTCGTCTTTCCCAACAATTGGAGGCTTGTTCAGGGTCAGGGGAATGAGACCTGTTATAGTTACTGTTTTGGGCATATCGAAAACACCACGGGGAGCTTGCCCATGTGGGTGCGATACTCTCAGTAGCTTGCTGGGCTCTCCAAGAGGTAGGTATATATATATATATATTTCTCTTTCTGCTTTGTTGCCTACTGAACCCCATTAAACATGGTGTGGTAATTATGGAAAATGGGTAGGAAGTGTCTGCGTGGTCTGGAAAGCAGCCTGGAGCATGGCAGCAGTTGGGTAGTGGAGGTCGGCTGCTGGGGCTGGGTCCCTTGGCGGGAGGGCTCTCACTCTCGCCCCCCTCTGGAGCGCAGAGCGCAAGTGAAAACAGACCCAGCTACTGTAGTCCCAGCTATTTTTTTAAGCTCATTTTCAGTCTAGCTATTGTAGTAAATGCAGTAATGAATAATGGTATGCATACATCCTCTTGGTAGAATATGGATTCTATGACACCTCTATCCTAAATTTATTGAGCACTCTCCATACTGTTTTCACAGGGGTTGAACCAGACAACATTCCCATCGGCAGTGGATGGGAGTTCCTTTTTCATCATGTACCTACTAGCACGAATTATTCTTAAAATATTTTATTGAAATTTGTTTCGAAAGATGAGAGAAAGGGAGAAATGCATGTTCAAGAGAGAACACAGGATTCTCTATAGGGGAAAATAGCAGCAAAGAAGCATCAGTGAGATGCATGTTCAAGGAGAACAAGTGAGATGCATGTTCAAGGGAGAACATGGGCTTGAAGAGCAAGCCTTTTCTTCCCTACTGGTTTTGATATGTGTCATTCTCACTGGTATGAGATGATATCTCATTGTCAGCTTGGTTTGGATTTCCTAAGGATAAGTGATGATGCAATTTTTCATGTGCACTTGACCATCCGACTGTCTTCCTCTGACAAGTGTCTTCATTTCCTCTCCCTTTTTTGATAGGGCTTTTGAAGTTGATTTTTATGAGGATACTTCATGTATCCTTGATATCAACTCTATCTGTTATGTTGAGTACAAATATTTCACTCAACATAATATCTTTTTGATCTTGCTGCTTTCAATAATGCAACTGTCTGTTTTTCTTTTTCCTGATCTTCTGTAATAATGTATTTTTGTATTGGGGTCCATTTGGCTAGGCCTCAGACATTCCACAGCTACCTGGAAGACATTATCAACTACCGCTGGGAGCTTGAAGAAGGGAAACCCAACCCCCTAAGAGAAGCCAGTTTCCAGGACCTGCCTCTCCGTACCCGGGTGGAGATTCTTCATCGTCTCTGTGATTACCGGCTAGATGCAGATGATGTCTTCGATCTTCTCAAGGTGCTTACTTGGCACTTCCTTTCCTTAAGCAGAATGTGCTTGTAGTCAGGTTATAATATGTGAAAATACTGGGGCCAGAGTAGCAGAAGAGCAGGTGTTTGCCTTGCACGTGGCTGATCCCCGAGCACTGCCAGGAGTAAATCCTTAGTTCCCACCCAATAACAGACTTGAATAGTCAGAGGCACCTCTGTATTTCAGTCCTCTTCATGGCCAAAAGTACAACTAAATTTTCCATGGAGTTTCACTTTCTAAGGTCTTTCATTTTATTTTAAATAAATGAAAATGTATAGAAAGCTACAATGACTTTAACCTCTTTGCAAGTGATGTTCATCTCAAGTATATTCATATATACACATTACCCAAAAATTACTCAAAAAAGTAAGGTGCGGCTAACTCTTTCCTTCCCTTTACTCTATTATTATTATTTTTTTTTCCAGAAGTCTGTCCCAGAGGGAAGGTATGGGCTGTTGCTTTTCACTCATAAGAGGATCATTTTCTAATCCTGTTCAGTCAGAAATCATTGATTTTGTGTTGTTGACTTCTCAGTCCAGCCTCGCTCAAGGACATGTTATAAAAATCACTGTTCAGTTTAGCTTTGTCTGTACTGAGAATTCAAGGACTTACATCCCAGCAGGAAGACCAGTACGGATCAGGCCCTGGGGTGAATTGGGAACTGTATTGCTAGATCTTGGCTGGAGTAAGACTGCTATGAGAGAATGCAGAGCTTCAATTGAGTGACCAACCTTTCACATTGCTGTTTTTGCTCCATCATTGTTTGTGTTTGTTTTTAAATGGGTGCTCATATATCACATGATATATTTTTTTGTTGTTTGTGCTGGAAATTGAACCCAGAGTCCCACACATGCAAGGCCTGCACTCTCCACAAAGCCACACCCCGGTACTTAAGTATGCACATGTAAAATAAAAATAATTAAACATTTTTCATTAAGTTCTTCCAAGTTCTTTTGGGGTGTGTGTGTGTGTATACAATGATGAGGAAACATTCTACCTATTTTCATATCCTGTTCCTCGGACCAGAAAAATAGTAGTGGCCTTGCACACAACAGAACCAGACTCAATCCCCAGTACCCAGTAAGATTTCTTGTGTCCCAGCCTGAATGATCCCCAGTTGCAGAGCCCAGAGTAAGCCCTTAGCACTCCCAGAAATAAACAAAAAGAAAAAAGAAGTTACGTATTTGTAGGGCCAGAGAGAGTACCATGGGTAATGTGCTTGCCTTGCAGGTGACCAAGAGGTTCAATCTCCAGCACCCCATATGGTCCACAGATGGACCAGGAGTGACTCCCTGAGCCCAGAGCCAGAAGGGGTAACCCTGAAACAATGCCCCCCCCCAAAAAAAAACTATTTGGGGGCCTTTTTTAAACGTTAGCACTGTAGCACTGCCCTCCTGATGTTCATCAATTTGCTTGAGCAGGCACCAGTAACATCTGTATTGTGAGACTTGTTACTGTTTTTGTTTTGTTTGTTTGTTTGTTTGGGTTTTTTTTTTGTTTGCTTTTTTTGCTTTTGGGGTCACACCTGGCAGTGCCTAGGAGTTACTCCTGGTTTTGCACTCAGGAATTATTCCTGGTGGTGCTGGGATATGGGATGCTGGGAATCAAACCTTGGTTGGCTGCTGCAAGGCAAATGCCCTACCTGCTGTACTATTGCTCCAGCCCCACGAGACTTATTACTGTTTTTGGCATATTAAATATGCCACGGGCAGCTTGCCAGGCTTTGCTGTGCAGGCCGAATACTCTCGGTAGCTTGTCGGGCTCTTCGAGAGGGGCGGAAGAATCAAACCCAGGTCGGCTGCGTGCAAGGCAAATGCCCTACCCCCTATGCTATCCTCCGGCCCATATAAATTTTAAATCCTTTAATTTTCTTGTGTTTTGTTTTTTTCCAAACCTTTTCTCCATATCCTTCTATTAGGGTCTGGACGCAGATAGTCTTCGTGTTGAGCCGTTGGGTGAAGATAACTCTGGAGCACTCTACTGGTATTTCTATGGCACACGAATGTATAAGGAGGTTCCTGTACAAGGAAAATCCAACGGAGAACTGTCTTTGAACAGGTACATTGCTCATGACTGGGACAGTGTAAAATGCTCCGGAGGTTCGATTTTCCTCCTGGTGGTTCTCAACCGTCTGTTGAGAGGCTGAGGGTGTGGTGTTCGCTCAGTGTAGCATATTCTATTGGGGATTGAACCAGGGTCGGCTGCATGCAAGGCATGTGCCCTGTACTCCTCTACCTTGAGGCATTGTTTTGTTTTGTGGTTCTTTTTTTTTTTGCTTTTTTGCTTTTTGGGTCACACGCAACAATGCACAGGAGTTACTTCTGGTTCATGCACTCGGGAATTACTCCTGGTGGTGCTCAGGGGACCATATGGGATGCTGGGAATCGAACCTAGGTCGGTTGCGTGCAAGGCAAATGCCCTACCCGCTGTGCTATTGCTCCAGCCCCTATTTTGTGGTTCTTGATCTAAGGTTTCAATTCCCTTACTGTAAACATAGTAAACTTTTCTCAGGAATACCTTCTTCATGGAAGTATTTTTTTTTTCTTTCATAGTCAGTTCTCCGGAATTTTGTTTTCATTTTCCACTAGATGTGATAATTTGCTCTATTACAATATTTGGACCACAAAAGACAGTAAGGAATGCCTGAAAAATGAAAACTTCCTAAGGAATGAAGAGGCCTCCTTTCCTCTGCATCCCAGAATGATGTTACTCTTTTGATTTATTTAGACTTTCTTACTGTTAGGAGCAGTTCTTTCTATTAGGAAGTTTTAAGATGTGCCCAGATGCTTATTTATTATTTCATTTTTATTTTTGTTCTTTTGGGGCCACTTACCGGCTTCCTTGCTTAGGGGAACCATGTACCATGGATTGAAAGCTGGCCTCTCAAATACAGTATATATACCCTAAACTGTTGAGCTATCTTGCCAGCACCTTTTAGTCTGATCTGAATGTAAAATGAAAGTTTTTCCATGGCCCTACATTTCAGTAATAGAAGACAGGAAGTATTGTCACCACCCATTTTCTGTGACTACTACATTTAATATTTTAGGAATATTCTGGATAGGAACACAAATTACTAGATGTTCTAGAATTCTTATAGTATATTGAATAGTATACCTTTTTTTTTTTTTTTTAAGGGAAAATGAAGGACAAAAAAATGTCTCAGGAGTTCCTGGGAAAACAGGAAAAAGAAGAGGAAGACCACCAAAACGAAAGAAATTACAGGAAGAAATTATAGTGAGGTAAGGAAACTTTGTTTTTCTTTGCTATGGAGCCCAGTGCTGGAAGGCACCTCTCTTCAATTTGATCCTTCATCTTAGTTTAAATAGGTAGCATTGCTAAAATATTACTAAAGTTTGTGGTATTGATGTACAAAGTCAGAGCACCTTGTTGTTACCAGAATATTACCCTCCTTTACTGTTTCTCTGTCACCTCTAGTCCTATTTTCAAATTCCTAAAATGGTCTTTCCCCTCTGTAGATAAATTTTATATTTATAAGCTAAGGTTTTGCTGTTGTTTGGTTGTATTTCCCTTGTTTTGTCTCTATTTCTCAAATGAGTGAGATTATCTGAAATTTGGTGTTCCCTGTGTCTAATATGGTACTCTAGTTCCGACCATGTTACAGTGAACAGCATGATTTCATCTTTTTTTACAGCTATGTGGTAGTCCATTGGACATATACTACGAATTCTTTATCCATTCATCTATTATTGAGTATATGTCTTGTTTATACATCTTGGCTGTTGTACTAAGTGCTACAATGAATGTAAGCATGTACATATAGTTTTACTTTTTTTTTTTTTTCCTTTGCGAGGTGCATGTCAAGAAGTGGCATTGCTGAATCTTTTGGGAGTTCTGTTCTTACTTTTTTGAGAAATCAATATACTGCTTTCCATATGGATGCTGAACCCACACAACATTCCCACCTATACTGGTGTGAGGTGATATCTCACTGTTGTTTTGATTTGCATTTCCATCATAATAAGATAAAATACTTATTACTTAAGTAATAACTTTTGAGTAGGATATGAGATTCAGTTCCTGTTACTTCCTGCATGGGACTAGACATTTTGCACAGCACTATTTGTTGAAGAGACTTTTCCTTGCTCCACTTCCTGCACCAGCTCCACTGTTACAACTTAACTGTCCATAAATCTGAGGGGCTGAATACCACCCCATGGTCCAGATTCCAGCACCACACAATTATGATTATTATAGCTTTATACTTTAATTTTAAAGTCCGGAAATGCATTATCCTGCATCTTTTTTTCATAGAATTTCTTTGGCTACTTGGAGAGTTTATGATACCAGGCAAATTTTAGTAGAGTTGAATATTGACAATGCTCAGTATATATTGAGTTGAAAATGTGTTGCACTATTGTTGTTTATCAGAGACTATGCATGAATATTGACTAAAATCATTATGCATGCTATTTACCATAGCATAGGAGCTAATTCTTATCCACTGAGATGAAGAACATGGCAAACATGGTTTTCAAGAATAAAATCTTTGGGAGCTGTCCAGATAATACTTGCCTTGTATGCAACTGCTGTGGTTCAATCCATAGCACCATATCTGGATCCCCAATCAGCCAGGAATGATCCCTGAGCAGTGGTCCAAAACCAAACAAACTGTAGTTTTCACAGGACCTGAGAAATTAGGATAGAGGTTAATGAAGGGATAGGGATTAATGAAGGTACTTGTGGGGCCCACGCAATAGTACAGTAGATTGGGTGCTTGCCTTATATGCAGTCAACCCAGTTTTGATCACCAGCATCCCATATAGCCTCTCAAGCCCACCAGGATTCTGAGTACAGCATCAGGAGTTATCCCTGAGCACCACCAAGTGTGGCACCAACTCGCCCCGCTACCCCTACCCCCCCAAAAAAAATCAGGGTGCTTGTCTTGTAAACAACTAAGACTGTCAGGATTCACTCATGAGCCCAGAGCCAGGAGTAAGCTCTGAGCAATGACGGGTGTGACTACCTCCCAAAAAAAGAATGCAGCACATGAGATAGCTCACGGACTGAACACATTCTTTCCATTCATTTGATCCTTGCATTGCATGTTCCCCTAAGCATCGTAGAAAATGACCCAACGCCCCCCCATCCCTGAGTGAAAGCAGTTTCCTAACAATTAAAGGTAAGATCTTAAGGGATAATGTTATTTGGAAAATTGTATTTTTTATATTATCTTCTAGGAAAGCTTGCATTGTGAATTTTGGACTTTTTAGAATTTGACCAGAAATCTATCAATGTACTTAAGCCAAATCTATCATTTTATACATAATATAATACACATATGACGTGTATGAATCAGTTGGGCAGCTTAAGCCCCATCATTACAAATTCTAACAACACAGCAGTCGCTTCTTCTTTGTAAACGTTAGAACTATGAAACAGTGTAAAAGACTTGAAACAGACCCTATTTTGCTGTCTTATTTACTACTAAGAAGTTTCTCTATGAGCTGGGAAATAACTCAAGGTCTAGAATTCAGTCATTGGTACAACCAATCCATCATTTTGTTCCCCATCGCACACCCCTCCAACCCTAGGCATATCCCTGGTGGCCACCAAGTACCAAGTGTTGCGCCTGTACCACTGGCCTGAGTATTGCTTGGAATGAACCCCAAATCAAAGACCTGAGCACAGATGAAGAAGCCCCTCCCCCATTACCCCTTTAAAAAGTATTTCTAGGGGGCTGCAGAGATAGTATCATGGGTAAGGTGCTTTATCTTGCATCCAGCAACCCACGTAGTCCCTCTCAGCCCCACCACAAGTGATCCCTGAACACAGAGCCAGGAGTCAGTCCTCAGCAACTCCGGGTGTGGCCCATAAACCAAAAAATTTCTAAGAATCAGATTTTTAATAAACTGATCAGAGTTTGTTCTTTACTACTACAGTGTTCAACTTTACAGAAATTTGAATATTTGTAAAAAGAATTCTGTGATTATGTTCTAAATAAATATATAGTTATGATATATATCGTTGGGCTGCACAGCAGGTAGGGCGTTTGCCTTGCACGCAGCCAACCTGGCTGACCCGAGTTCGATTCCTCCGCCCTTCTCGGAGAGCCCAGCAAGCTACCGAGAGTATCTCGCCCTCACGGCAAAGCCTGGCAAGCTCCCTGGGACATACTCGATATGCCAAATAAAGTAACAACAAGTCTCATGATGAGATGTTACTGGGACTACTCGACCAAACGGGAGGGCAGTGCTATAGTGAAATATATTGTTATATTTTATATGTATAGAACATCATATGCAATTATCTCCTAAATATAAATATCTATATATAAATAAGAATATAGAATTTTGTCAGCAGTCTATACCTCTTTGTATATTCAAAAGCAGTTTTATGCATATATCAACATTTCCCTATAAGAGCCCATTATGAAAGTACGTCCACTCTGGGAATAAGTATAATCTTAATAAGCATTCATGGACTTGTGCTACCCTCTACTGGTGGTTTCATTCTTTAGAGCTACATATCCAATATACTATTTGAAGTTTGTGCAGGGAGGAAGCTGGGGCCAACACCCAACTGTTCTCAGAGCCTACAACTGGCTCTGCTCAGCATTCATTCCTCTGGGTACTACATACAGTGCCAGGGATCAAAGCCTGTTCTCCGTTGCATACAAAGCAAAGGCCTTACCCACTTTGCTACCTCTCCAGCCCTGTATTTGAATATCTTCTAAACTAACCTTTCTAATTTGTTCCTCCATCAAATTAGTTGAATTTCCAGTTCTTCGCTACCACATGTGACTTACAGCTATTATATCAGACAGTAACAACCACAGGACATTTTCTTCTCATTGGAATTCCCAAAAGTATTTTAAGAGTGCATTGGTGGTATTCATTTATTCAGCAGAGCCATTCCTTCTCCTGACTTCTTAACATGTAGATATGCACACATGCTCATGTATGAGGGCGCGCGCGTGCACACACACACACACACACATACACACACACACACACAAACACACACCTTGTGCTCAGTTAATTGGTCTGTTCTCTGGGGAAAACACAACTGTTTGGACATGCTTTTATTTTAATTGGTGCCTCCTTTTCTGTGTTTCAGTGAAAAGCAGGAAGAAAACTCCTTAGCATCTGAGCCACAGACAAGAAATGGTAATGATCTTTGCTGGAGTTTAGAAAGGTTCCTGTAAACTTGATTGTGATGGTGACCGTTATTTTTTCCAAAGTCACATAAAGTAGTTATGGTTATTGCAGTAGCCTAATTATAATGCCTTCTTGCCATTCTTTATAGTTTTCTTATTCACACAATCCTATGTCCATTTCTCTTACAGAAAAGTGAATTCAGAAGTATGTATTTGCACATGTGTCTTATTAACTGAGCTTAGTATAGTTGACACCGAGACATTTGGTTAAATAATTCTCTTCTCAAAGAACTGCTAATATAGATGTATCCTGGTTTCTTCATTTCTATAATTCAGATAGCCTTAATTTTGGGAGACTATATCAGAACCATTTGTGTAGAAAAGTAAACTTTTCAAAGCATTTCTTGGGTATTAATAGTCTGTCTTGTGAAAGTTTAAGTAATTGTGTTTGTGTTACTTCTAGACATTCTTAACATTTTTTTTTAATAGTGACAGTTTGGTGGGTAGGGCACTTGCCTTTCATGTAGCCAACCCAGATTTGATCCATGGTACCACATATGGACCCTGAGAACCTCTGGGTGTAGCCAAGTCCACCCCATTCCCCCCTCCCCCAATGTAAAAAGGGAGATACACCCTGAGGAATCTGTTTCAGTAGCCAATTATTTTTGTATTCTAGGGTCCCAAGGGCCAGGTCAAGGCACTTGGTGGCTCCTCTGTCAAACGGAAGAAGAATGGAAACGGGTCACTGAGAGTTTTCGGGAGAGAACTTCCCTTCGAGAACGGCAACTGTATAAGCTGCTTAGTGAGGACTTTCTACCTGAAATCTGCAACATGATTGCCCAGAAGGTATGCAAATGTTGATTCCTCCCCTCTAAGAATTATTTCAGTCTTAAATGCTGCTAAGTATCCTGTGATAAAAGATCCTCATCCTTTCTGATCTAGAACATTAAAATGGGTCCTCTCCTGCACTGTGATACAGTATTTTCTTTATCCCAATAAATTCTCAAGCCACTACTTAGAGAGGCTTTTTAAAATTTGGAACCAACCTTCTTCTGTAATATTTCTTTGGAGTGCCTCATATCACCCTGTACATATCTATCACTTGTATCACCATTGCTCATTGATTTGCTCGAGCAGGCGCCAGTAACATCTCCGTTCGTCCCTGTCGCGTGCTAGTGTAGCCCAAGGGCTTGCTCCAGGAACACGAAGAGCCTCAAACTGCTCGTTCAGGGTTTTGACGAAGAAATCTGACCATCTCATAGGTGGGCGGCCACGTGTTCTTTTGATGTCTGTGGAATTCAGTACATACCTTTAGTCCATATATATGCTTTTTTGTTTGTGTTTGTTTTTGTTTTCTGGTTGGGGGTCATACTTCACAGGGCTCAGGGCTTACTCCTGGCTTTGCTTTCAGCTATTGTTCCTACTGGGTCCTTGCATTGTATAAGGCAGTGCTTGACCACGTGATTCAAATGCTTGACCACAGTTTATAATTGTTTTACTACAGTAGTCACCCTTAGATTGTTTTGAATAACACACACACACACACACACACACACACACACGGCCAGTGAGATAGAGTGTACAGGGGAAAGGATGCTTTTCCTTCATGTGGTCCTCTTGACTGCTACTGTGTGTTACCCAGAACAAACAAAAAAACTTTTATGGATTTGAGGACCGGAAATGTAGTTTGGGGAATGCTGGAGCAATAATTTAGCAGGTAGAGGATTTGCCTTGCGCACGACCAACCCAGGTTCGATCTCCAGCAGCCCATATGGTTCCCCAAGCATCATCAGGTGTGACCCAAAAACCAAAAAAAAAGAAAGGAAGAAATGTAGCTCTGCCATCGAGTACTTGGCTTTGCATGTATAGAGTTCAATCCCCATCACTGATACCCAGAAAATCTTAAAGCTTGGTTTAGTGGGGGTCTGAAGAAGACCATTCCCTGCATGTTGCCGACGTTAGTTCCAAATCCCTAGCACCACATATGAGCACCATTAAGAGTAGCCCACAGGCCCCCTCCCCGACAACAAACAAATACTAGTGTGCATAGACCTGGATTGCATCTTCAGCACTGCCCAACCCCCCAAAGAAATAAAAGATTGATGAGGAGATAGAGGGTGATTTCAGTGGCTCACAGGAAACTTGAATCATGACTGGTAAGTAGTGTTGAAAATGTTTCTGAACATTTCTTGCTTTTATTGGCATGCTGTATTTGTATTACCTGTCTTAATTATATTGGTCAAGAGGGACTTTGTTCGAATAACCAAAAAGGCCTACAGTCATATGTGACCATTTGTTCAGAAGAAAAGAATATGATTCTTATTAAATACAGCATTTAATACTTATTAAATAGCAGTGTAATCTGTGATAGTAGACATTACAATATAGTGGAAGATTGATGGGCATTTCTTTTAGATTACTCTTTCCTAGTATGTTTTGTTTGGTTTTGGATAACATACATGATACCTCCCAATTTTGCTTTTCTCTGTTGGTTACAGTTGTGGATAATTGGTGAGAATTTTGGTTAGAAAGCTAAAATATTTTTTACCGAAATTTATGCAGATCAGAAGAGCAGTAAAGCAGATACGATTCATCTTTGGAAGTAGAAAACTACTTTATACTTTTAAATAGTTTAAAGTGAAAAATTGAAAACATAAAGCTTGCTTTGATCATACAAAAAACCTTTTTTGTTTGTTTTGGGGCCACAACCTTCGAGCCCATGGTCACTCCTAGCAAGGCTCAAGGGACCATATGGTTAGCAGGGGATCAAACCCATGTTGACCGCATGCAAGGCAAAATGCCTTACCTACTGTACTCTCTCTCTGGCTCTCTAAACTTTTATAGTAAGATTTAGATAAAGGAAGATTTAGACTACTATTATTTGTTGATAATATTACGGTAGTAATAGTTTATACATATTAGGGGTTTGGTAAATGAATTGGCTAAGGATATCGCATGAAGAGGAATTGCTCATAGGTGCATTTGAGGAAGTTGTAAGGGCCTTTGGTGAGAAGTTGTTAAGGTCTAGTGCCCTTAACAACTGAGGTTGTACTTACACTCTCATACTTAGTCATATTTGTGACAGAAAAGCTTTCTAAAGTTTCTGATTGTTAGATCAACCACCCTTGTCGTTCAGCATGTTTAAGTGTATCTCACTATCTTATTGTCGTTTTCTGATTTTTTCATTTTTGTTTGTTTGTTTGTTTGTTTTGTTTTGGGGAACATCCAGTGGCTATCAAGGGTCACTCCTGGCAGACTTTGGAACCATAAAGGGTTTCGGGGATTAGACCAGGATACAAGGCATTGGCCCTACCTGCCCTCATTGTACTGAGGCCCTCATTGTAAAAACAGTAAAACACTTACTGTTTTTAAGGTTACTTCTCTGTTGTTCTTTTGTTTTTATGATTTGTGTTTTCTTCTTTGTTGTTCCCTTATTGTGTTAATTGATTCTTTAACTCTCAAGATGTTCTCTTTTAAGTGGCACCAAAATCAAATCTGGATAATGCTCATACTGGTACTGACTTCACAGAAATTACTCATGTTCTACCAGGCCTTCAAGCACCACTGGATATGGCTCTTAGCTTTAAAAAATTCAAACTTAAGGGTGAGGAGGAAATTTTTTTCAAACTTATCAAGATAACTTCCTAGCTTCAAATAGTTCTCAAAACTACTTCTTTGAATTTTCCATAGCAATTTTTTTCAGCTTCCTTTAGTTTCTCTGGGCTCTGACCTCAAACTGATAATCGAATTCCTAATTCCTTAATCCTTGCCTGTCTTCCTTACTCACTTGTTCCTAGCCTGTGTCTCTCCTCCCGTTCTCGCTACTGCACTGCCCTGCCTTTTAAAGAGGAGACCTCAGAATGCCCTATGTCAGCCATTATCTTTAGCAAAAGGTGATAAAACATGGCTTTCTTTTAATATTTAGGAAAAAAAGCTCTTGAAAAAATAAAACAGAAAGAGAAAATCTTGGGGCTGGAGTGATAGCACAGCGGTTAGGGCGTTTGCCTTGCATGTGACCCGACCTGGGTTCGATTCCCAGCATCCTATATGGTTCACTGAGCACGGCCAGGAGTACTTCCTGGGTGCATAATCCAGGAGTAACCCCTCTGTGCATCGCTGGGTGTGACCCAAAAAGCAAAAAAAAAAAAGAAAGAAAGAAAGAAAGAAAGAAAGAAAGAAAGAAAGAAAGAATGTTGTACGTGAGAAACCTTGGCAGAGATGACAACTGTGTTTTGGATTTTGTTGTTGTTGTTACTTATTTTAGGATCTCCAAGTGTTGCTCAAGAGGGTTCAGGGACTCATCCAAAGATTTTGTTGTTGTTGTTGACCAGTTGAATTAGTATTTTGATGCAAAGGTCCCCGGATGTAGTGCTGCTCCGTCCCTGCAGGGCTGGAAATTACCGAGGCTGTACCAGCAGTGCTCAGGACTCTTGGACTGTCCCCAGCAACTCCTAGGAGACCGTGTGGTGCCCAGAGTCCTCTATATGCAAAGCATCTGCCTCAACCCTTTTTCCTGACTCTCTGGCCCCTATGGTTTGGTTTGGTTTATTATAAGAAAATTAATGGGGGCCCGATGGGAGGGGCAGTGAGAGAGTAACAGAGGTTAAGGCATTTGCCTAGCATGCAGCCATGGCACCAGTACAACCTGTGGTCTCCTGAACAACATTCTGGGTGTGGCCCCAAAAGAGAGAAGCAGAAAATAAACTGGGGCCAGCAAGATAGCCCAAAATGCCGGAGTGCATATTTTGCATGTCAGAGCCTGGACTCTCCCTAGAACTGGTCCCCCACAAACACTGGGTATGGTCCAAAACAGGGAAGAAAATAAAAGAAACTGGCATGGTACATTGTGCATAGTGAATGGCCCTTTTCACCAACCGTCCTTCCCATGTCTTTGTTCCTTGGTAAAGCCATTACCTATATGCTTTAGAGGTCACTCTTCTACTGGGCAGTAACAGTAGCCGAGAACACCCTAATCTGTCTTTTCCTTTCTTTTCCTTACTTCTAACTATAGGGAAAGCGTCCACAGCACACAAAAGCACAGTTGCACCCTAGGTGGATGTCTGACCACCTGTCCGACAAATCCATCAAGCAAGAGGTGAGTGCACATAAGAATAGGAAGGAATTTTTCAAGTGTTCAGAAAGGATTATTGCATTTTCTTATGTGTGCTCCTTTTATTTACCTTTCTCTAAATCTTTAAGCTTCTTTTGAACATTATTATGTGTAAGATGCATTGCTGAAAAGGAATTATAAAAATAAAACGGGCTAGAGTGATAGCACAGCAGGTAGGGCGTTTGCCTTGCACGCGGCCGACCCAGGTTTGATTCCCAGCATCCCATAGGGTCCCCTGAGCACCGCCAAGAGTGATTCCTGAGTGAAGAGCCAGGAGTAACCCCTGTGTATTGCTGGTGTGACCCAAAAAGAAAAAAAAAATTAAATAATAAATAAAATATAAGCTAGTACAGCAGCATTTTCCTTGCACACAACTAACATGGATTCAATTCCTGGCACCCCATGTGATTCCTGAGCAGTGCTGAGTGTGGCCGCAAAACCAAGAAAAACCTTCCTTGTGGAACTTTAAGGGGCCAGAGTGATAGTTCAATGGGGCAAGTAGGGCATGTGCCTTGCCCATGGCCAACTGAAGTTCAGTCCCTATCACCCCGTATGGCACCAAGCCTGCCACGAATTGATCCCTGACTTTAGAGCTAGGAGGAAAGCACTGAGTACTGGCAGTGTGGCAAAAACGAAAAACCCAAACCACATAGGTCATTCTTACGGTCTTTTCATCTAGTAAGATGTAGAGAATGATAAGTATTGTCTTAGATATGTAGCTGAACGTTATGAATGTAGAATGTAGACATTGAAGGATTGGGCAATGAAAGGGAGTTGGGCCCAGGAGAGCTGTATTTCACCTAAACTAGACTATAATTTTTGTAAAAGACAGTAAGGAGGGAGAAGTTTAAAGGGAGAAGACAGTCTATACTATTGAAGTAATATTTTGTTTTAAAGCACAGAGGTAGAATATTATGTGTAAAGTAATTAAAGAACCATGTATGTTTGTGTAGAGTTCATGCCCAATTCAGTCAGCTTAATCAATGGCTGAATAAATAGCAGTGCTCCTACATTATTTTAAAAAAAAATGTATGTTTATATATAACGGGCATATAAGATTGCTTAAAATTTAGGAGAAAATGCTGGATTTGATTGTATTTTGGGGTCTCCCTTCATGTTTGTATCTTTAGTAAGCAGCAGAAAGGGAAGTCATTGGATTTTGTTTTAAAGATCCGTTTATGATCCTGCCATGATAAATGATTTTGTAAGAGAAAACTAGAATGTCAGAAATCAGTAAACAGGTGCCAGAACAGTAGTACAGAGAACAGGGCGCTTGTCTTGCACGCGGCTGACATGGGTTTCATCCTCGGCACCCGATGTGGTTCCCCCAAACTCAACAGGAGTTATTCTTCAAAGCAGAGCCAGGAGTAAGTACCGAGTTCTTCTTGGTGTGACCGAAAAACAGCCCACAGTAAATACTTCCAGAAGAGCATCTCTTTCGAAAATCCGTCTGTTAGAAACGTAGATCTGAGGGTGGAGCAAAAGTACAGCAGGTTGGGCGCTTGCCTACACACGGCTGGCTGGGTCCATCCCCAGCGTCCCCAGTGGTCCCCCAGGCAATGCCAGGGGTGGTCCCTAAATGCAGGGCCAGGAGTAAGTCCTGTTCAGTGCCAGGCAGGAGCGAAGGAAGGAGGAAAGAAAGAAAGAAATGTGTGCCACGAGCCCGGCACTTGCCTTGCGTCCAGCTTACCCAGGTTCCATCCCTGTTACCCTGCATAGTCCCCTGTACTGTGGCGATGTTTATGTGAGCGGTGCAAGTTAAGGTACAGTTGCCCACCCCAGCCCCAACCCCAAGCTGCCTGCATAGCAGACACATTTCTTCTCTCCCCCTTTTCTTCTCCCCGTCTCTCCTTCGGCCCCTCTCTCCCCGCTTCCCCTCTCTTCCTCTCTCTCTCCCCCTCTCCCCCTTGCCCTCAGTTAAGCACTTTCTTGTCCAGAGTGATCATTTCCAGTCATCACTGCAGTAAAAAGAAAGGGAAGGTGGGGAGGGAGACGGGAGGAGAGGATTCCACATTACTGTTTTTTAATGCTAGGCTAACACACAGGCACAATTTGCAACAGGTTATTTCACTGTAGCACCATCACAATGTCCTCCCGTTACTGTAGCACTGTCGCAGTGTCCTCCCGTTGTTCATCAATTTGCTCAAGCGAGCCCAGTAACGTCTCCGTTGTGAGACTTGTTGTTACTGTGTTTGGCATATTGAATACGTCAACGGTAACTTGCCAGGCCTTGCTGAGCGGGTGAGATATTCTTGGTAGCTTGCTGGACTCTCCAAGAGGGACAGAGGAATCGAACCTGTGTTTACCAGGCCAGCCTCGGCCGGCGCCTAGCAGCCGACTTAGAACTTGTGCGGACCAGGGGAATCCGACTGTTTTCATTAACACAAAGCATCACAAAGGCCCGCGGCGAGTGTTGACGCGATGTGATTTCTGCCCAGTGCTCTTGGCAGTTGGTGACACATGAGAGGGGGATGGGAGCGCCTCGAGTACGGGGGCTCGCCCCAGAAAAAACCCGGGACGAGTAGGAGGGCCGCTGCGGTGAGTCTTGAAGCCTGGTGAGCCTTGAAGCCTAGGGCGCAGGCCCGGGTGGAGCTGCCGCAGGTGCAGATCTTGGTGGTAGTAGCTAATATTCACACGAAAACTTTGAAGGCCGAAGCGGAGAAGGGTTCCATGTGAACAGCAGTTGAACATGGGTCAGTGGGGCCTGAGAGATGGGCGAGCACCCTTCTGAAGGTTGTTTCAAAGCAAAATTTTTCAGAGATCAGAAAATAATGCACTAAAATTGCCAGTGCTAAAGTATAAATGTTATCTAGAAAATCAGGAAGCTTTATGGTACACCTTCACATCGTCGTATGCTCAATCTTATACCAGATAATTCTTCTTTACTTCCTAGTCCAGACTGAAAGCCCATCAGTTCTCATACTCTACTGTTTTGTTGTTGTTGTTGTTGGTTTTTGTTGGCTTTGGGGCCAAATCTGTGATGCCCAGGGCTTACTTCTGGCTCTCCACTCAGGGTAATAGCTCAGGATGTGCTGTGGATCAGACTCGGGTGTTCTTCCCACTGTACTATCACTTTGGTTCTTATACTGTCTCCTTTTAAACGAGATCTCTGTAGTCTGATTCATTGAATACACTACTTTCTGGCCTGTGTGGGGAAACAGCTCAAGTAGAAGAACATATGTCTCCACTGTGGGGTCCTGACTTCAGTCCCGGCAGTTTCAAAACTTGTTAGTTTTACATAACACGTAATTCTGTAGGTATGCTATAGTAAACATTCTCAGTTTCTTATTGCTCTACTAGATATATTGGGGAAAATTTTAGTTGTGGCATGACTTCTACAGAAATTTGTTAGACCTTTAATGCTTTTAGGTAGGATTTTCATCTGTACTGGTTACCTAGGAGCCCAATCTTTTTGCCTAAGAAGATCTTTCAGGGCTGGAGCGATAGCACAGTGGGTAGGGCATTTTGCCTTGCATGCAGCCAACCCGGATTCGATTCCCAGCATCCCTTATGGCCCCCGAGCACTGCCAGGAGTAATTCCTGAATGCATGAGCTAGGAGTAACCCCTGTGCATCACCAGGTATGACCCCCTCCCCCCAAGAAAGAAAAGAAAATCTTTCAATTGTGGCTTCTGGGGAAAATATTAATGAAAATCATTCTCTCTGAATCCAAGGTTTTTCTTTATTGTTTATTTTTGTCGAGAGAATCAGGACATTGGGACCAGCAAGACACCACTAGCCTCGCACAGAAATGACCTTGGGTCTATCCTTGCCATCACATATAATCCTCCCCAACACCCACCAGGAGTAATTTCCGAGCACAGAACCAGAGATATGCCCTGAACCCAGCTAAGTATTTCTCAGAAACAGAGAGGTGTCTGGACATTGCTGTTGGCTTCTAGGGAGCTCTTTGTCATAACATAAGCTCAGGTACTATTAAAGTTGGTGAGATTGTGACAGGGAAGAGAACCTGCCCTTAGGTGGAGGGCATAAAAAGATTATTCTCAGCGCCACTTTTATCTAAGATTCTGCTCTAATCCTACAGAGAATTTTTAAGTGATATTACTTTCTCGTTAAAATCCTTCCTTGAAAAGTATCATGTTAAGTGAAATGAGTCAGAAAGAGAGGGACCAACATAGAAAGAAAACTTGCACTCATTTGTGAAATATAAAGTAACAGAATGGGAGACTAACACCCAAGATTATTAAAGTACTGGGAGGATTACTCCACCCGCAGCTTAGAAGCTAGACTCACATGCTGGGGGGAAAGGCAGCTCAGTTAGAAAAGGGATCACCGAGTAAATGGTGCTGGGAGAATCCGCTCAAGATGGGAGACGCACCCTGAAAGCAGAATATAGACAGAACATGATGGCCACTTAATACCTCTATCGCAAACCACAACACCCAAAAGGAGAGAGAGAGCAAAAGGGAATGCCCTGCCACAGAGGCGGGGTGGGGGTACGGGGGATGGGGTGGGGATGGTGGGAGGGATGCTGGGACCATTGGTGGTGGAAAGTGGGCACTGGTGGAGGGATGGACCAAAATGCAAGCATGGAAGTTTGTAAGTCTGTAATTGTACCTCACGGCGAGTCACTAATTAAAAAAAAAACCTCTACATTTCAAGCACAGCGGGTAGGGCGTTTGCCTTACAAGCAGCCAACATGGCCGACCCGAGTTCGATTCCTCCACCCCTCTCGGAGAGCCCGGCAAGCTACCGAGAGTATTCGATATGCCAGACACAGTAACAACAAAGTCTCCAATGGAGACGTTACTGGGCCTGCTCGAGCAAATCGACGATCAACGGGAGGGCCTTTACCTTTACCTTTACCTTTACATTTCAAGAATTACATAATATCTCCATTGTCATTGGCAAATAACTCCTTGTATACTCTTGCTACTGTTTGACATCCTAGAATTGCTCCTATGTGTTTAGTTGGAAATCTCTAATTTCATTTTCATTATAACAGTTTTCCATTCTTAATGTACT